ATATTGCTATTTTTGGACCAAATCGCGGAACCCTCTATACCGAAATAATAAATATAGCGGTAATATAACCGGTAGATCCGCTGCAGTGCTCTGGGCGCTTTGTTTCTCTCCATTATTTGCTGAACGGTATAAAGTGCAAGCCCGTAAAGGCTTTGGGTTTCAGAAAGTGATCGTAGCGAGAAATCAGGAAACAAATGAGAGCATCTTCGATGCACGGTTCCCATACCATATGCCAGTGGCCATGTCAATTAAATGTTCCTGCATGCGAGACTTGCGCACCTTATTAGCGGCTCGTGTTACGAATGGACGGATGGACGGACGGATGGATAAACGGACAGACGAACGGAGGGACGGACGGACAGGCGGACGGATGGACGGACGGATGGATAAACGGACAGACGAACGGACGGACAGACGGACGGGCGGACGGATGGACGGACGGATGGATAAACGGACAGACGAACGGACGGACGGACGGACGGACAGGCGGACAGAGGGACGGACGGACGGGCGGGCGAAAGGACGAGGACGCGGACCGGGAGGACGAGCGGAACGAACGGACGGACGGCGGACGGACGGCGCGACGAGTGACGGACGAACGGACGGGCGGACGGACGGACGGACGGAAGGAAGGATAGACGGATGGATGGATGGATGGATGGATGGATGGATGGATAGATGGATGGATGGATGGATGGATGGATGGATGGTGATGAATGGTGATGGATAATGATTGATTGATTGATTGTGGAGGATGGATGGATGGATGGATGGATGGATGGATGGATGGATGATGGATGGATGGATGGATGGATGGATGGGATGGATGGATGAATGGATGGATGGATGGATGGATGGATGGATGGATGGATGGATGGATGGATGGATGGATGGATGGATGGATTTGGATGGATGGATGGATGGATGGAACGATGGATGGATGATGAGTGGATGGATCGATGGATTAAATGGCTGGATGGATAGATGGATAAATTAATAGGATAGATGGATGGATGGATAAATTAATAGGATGGATAGATAGATGGATGAATTAATGGCTGGATGGATGGATGGATAAATTAATAGGATGGATGGATGGATGGATGGATGGACGGATGCACGGACGGACGGACGGACGGACGGACGGAGGGACGGACGGACGGACGGACGGAGGACGGACGCGACGGACGGAGAAACAAAGAAATAATATAAGTAGTATAATAGTATAAGTCTCTATATATTTCTATGGGAGGGACGGACGGACGAATGGATGGATGGACGGACGGAGGAAGGGATGGACGGGTGAATGAAAGCTCACGATAATATTGCGCATAAAGATTAACAGCAATATCACCAACAAATTACTGTTCAATTTATCGCACTGACAATGTAAAATTACGGACATCTTTGTCAAAGTTAATTACTCCCGCGACGGGAATTTTTAACTATATGCTATTTATAACTGTGAGAGCGCTTACAAGTACGCTAAGCAGTCTTTATATATTAGTAGTACGACAATAGTGTTGAAATTTCGACGATCCATACAATCACCGAGAAACTGGAAGCACCAAGTTTCGTTGATAGTGCTTCTCTACGATAAAGCAAGCAATAATTAATTATTCAGCGCCTTTCGGTGCTTTTGCAGATAAGTTTAATACACGTATTATCAGGAGTGATTAAAAAATTGTTTCACTCCTGGTATTATCTATATTACTTTATGCAATAAACGATAACCATATAGCGCTATAGATGCATATGCATATATAACACATAAACTCTCTCTCACACACACACGCACACACACACACACACCACCACAACACACACACACACACACACACACACACACACCACACACGCATGCGCGCGCACACACACACCTCACCACAACACACAACACACACACAACACAACACACCACACACACACCACGCATGCCGCGCGCACACACACCACACACACACACACACACACACACACACACACATACCACGCGCGCACACACACACACACCACACACACACACACACACACACACACACCACACACGAGAGAGAGAGACACACACACAGAGCACACAACATACACACACACACACACACACACACACACACAACACACCACACACACACACACACACACACACACACACACAACATACACACCACACACCACACACACACACACACACACACACACACACACACACACACAGCAAACACACAACACACACCACACACACACAGCACATATATACGAGGTTTACTCACGAACGTTTAATACCACAGCGCCATCTCTAGGAACAGTGTGAATACATATATGCATTAATTGCTGTATGATGTAAATCCTGATGAAATGCTCAGCGACGCGTGATGGAACTACGGTGAAATCCCCAACAGAGTATCTGGGTTAGTTCGGGTAGTATATAGGTTGGTCATCGCATGGAAAGCAAACTCAGTGATGAAACGATTATTACTGAAAGGTTTTTCACCAAACTAAAGAATATCACTTCCAACGCACTGTTAAGCGCTGCATCGAATATCTTAATACAGATATGAAACAAGCATCGAAACAAGGCAACATACAGGGAGGGCTACGCCAACAGAGCTACCAACCACAATCTCCATTGGACTCACCCTGCGAGTTATATATTAAAGGATATTTAGTAAGCTTTCAAAACGGTAAACGTCAGAGGTTGCAAAAATCATCCGCGGTATCATGGTTTTATATGTTCCTGGGAAAGTTTGTACTAGTATTATCTTTGGAACGATATCAAAGGCGCAAAATAAAGATTCGTGATATCAACACGTACGGTTTACGCCATGTTAGATTAAGTATAACGACCACATTACCAATAACATCACCAAGTGTTATCATGAACAGTGAGCCAAATGGACTACATTTGTTAACTTTCGATATTAAATCGCTAGCGTTAGTGGGAGGGAGAATTCTGTGATATCGATTGTAACACATTATATATATATTATATATATATAACACCAAATACGTACCGTACTCATAACAATCCCCAAGGCCTGGATGAAACCTCAGATTAGAAGTGGAAACAAATGCCGGGCGGCACTCGCTCGGAACTGGGTAAGGGGTGCCTCCGGGACCTTGAAAACCTGACCCTGCCGCCAAACCGCTTTGCGGCCTTAAAATACACCCTGTCCCAATATACTGCACTAAAAAGTATACCCTGTTGCATATTGCACATTTCGGTTATGTCCTGTCCTGTCAATATAGGCAGATATTGGTCCAATATCGGCCTGGTGATATTGGCCCAATATTGTTTTTGCCAATATTGGCCCAATATCTGCCTATATTGTCCAATATTGGCCCAATATTGGTCCAATATCAGCTTGATGGTGTTGTATTAAGATAACCCTGTGCCCATAATGATGTTCGGAAAATTACCCTGTGCCAATAATGTTTGGAAAATATACCCTGTTCAGCGGCACGTCCCAGTACCTTTAACAATGGAAGTGCCCTCCCCCCCCCCCGGGCAACAAACGTTCCGGATAAAACATAGTTTGCTGATGACAGATAACACTAATTTCAAGTAACTTGAGACAAAAGCAAACAAACGCAGGCAAGCAACAATATGCTTCAGCTTCCAACGAACGCAGCCACCATACTACTCGATATCGACCAATCAAAACACAATTAAAGGCGTGTGCGCTTCATCCAATATCATACCAAAGTTATGACACTGAACGGTAGGAGCTCTAGTTTGGGAGAAGTGGGTATATTTACGTAACTAGGCAATGTCAAGTGGGGAAAAAACAGAGGAAGCGACAAAGGTTATAACACAAATTTACATTAAAATGGTAATAAATTAGTTTAATGCCAGGCAATTAAAACTCAACAAGCACATAGGGCCCCTATCCACGTAATAAAATATCATTTTTTTGTTGCTATTCAGTTAGTTTTACAAACGAAATAGAAACTTGGAAAACAGCAGAAGAAGAACAATAAAAAACTTCAAACATTCCGGAACAAATGTCCATTGTACTTTCTGGCAGGGTAATGCGTTCTTTATCATGCTGCATACATTGAAAGACACTATTAGGAACAAATATCCATTGAAAAACGAAGAGAATGAATAAGGCAAGCCAAATAAGACGCAAGTATGTGGATGGTTTAGAGGATAGACCATTCCACAACAACCACACTTCCACTACAAAACCGGCAGACAAAAGCTTACCCTGAAACTCACAATAGAGACGTTCTAAGAACGCTAGATAAGGGGAGATTTGTAGATAAGATAGATAAGAGAGATTTGTTGAGGCCGAACTGAAAGAACCAAGAACAGTCTGGAAGGAAATGTGAACCGATTCCACTGCAGGAAATTTGTGGAAGGCCTATGCTCCCTTGGTTGAGGCAAGTACTATGAACAAATACGAGCACATACACACATGCACGCACGAACGAACGACCGCCAGAACGCACGCACGCCCGCCTGCGCGTTTTATATATATATCCGTTTCACCGTTTGTATATTTTTAAATGCATACTTAATATGGCGAACGAAAAATGCAAATAATTATATACATGTTCTGATAAAAAATTGTAGAAAAGGAATGTCATTTATTTACAATGAACGTGGCAAAACGATACAAACGAGCAACAATTTTAGACTGGAAAAACGGGGATATCAAAAATGTACATCACAATCATTCAGACACAAATCTCAAAAGCCACATACAATTACAGCATGTTAACATATTCCCGTTTGATGTCAACCAGCGCCGTTACACACGGCACTTGCTGTTAGCTATTCCTGTCATGATCGTAAAATGAGTGATTATAACAGTTATATAATAATCACATTGCCAAATCCTGATTACATACATAAAACTGTACATCTCTCACCGCGTTTTTCTCAAACGTCAACTCGGGACATGAAACAAAAACTCGTTTAGGATACAGTATGTGTATTCTGCGAGTTCATATATATATATACACATATATATATATATAATATATATATAACACACACATATATATATATATATATATATATATATATATACAGCCAACGTTAAAACAGGGAACCCTGGATGAATAATTGATTCACATAATAAACTCACCTAAACAATACCTACAAGTATATACTGAAATTCTTATAAGCATTCATCGTTCGTAGAAATAATTATAGCCAATAATTTTTTAGATCATCATTGATATGCATTTGTGGTAGTCTATATATATACATCGTCAACATGCTGTGCCATATCACCGCGATTGTGTATAACAATCATAATAGCCTATAATACCCTGAAATTTCAGAGCTGGCACCGTTTTTCTATCAATCTACTCGCACGACCTACTATCTGACCACGTCTTTCCTACTTATTGTTGGAGCTACACGGTTAGAATCACTTCGAGACATTCAGAGTTTTGAAATGTCATGTACACGCAATTTCATGAAACAGCTAGGAGATAGTTGTGATATGCGTGTGCCAAAAAGTAGAAAAATCCATGGATTTTATTATAACGTGCACGAACACAGGGCTATCTCGTTACAGATATATACGTATGAGATTTCTGATCACACGCGTAATAGACAACATATTTGTCTGCCTGCATACTTCCCTGATGATCGAAAGATCTGTAACCCACGTGACGCAGCGACGTCATTGCCCGTCACACTGCGACGCCATTGTAAACCTTTGGATTAGCTCAACCTACATTGTCATGTCAGGGTGGTGCAGATCATAAGCGACATAATAACAATGTGTCTCGATGTTCACAAACCTTTAAACATTCCGACTCTAGACAGATGAGCATACGATACTGTGAAGCAGACACAAGACAAATGCAAACATTTCAATTTGAGCAAAACGCTTCCGTGGTACGAGTGCCTACACGCGATGTAGGCAGTAATGGAATGGGATTAGTGTCACCTCGTCAACGAGGCAACAGGTGTTTCAAAAAGCTTCCTGTCAGCAATTAAATAAAATAAATACAGCATAGACAGCATGGGAAATCGATATTATACGAAATTAAATACAACCCAAATAACTCTTGATTATATTACAATGCCTGGGACTATTTCATCCAGCTTTGGTTTAAGAGAAGTACGTGAAGGAATATGGGACCAACATCAAAATAGATAGGTCTCATATAGTTTGGTACAGCTGTAATGTCAAAATATCAATACCTATACACACTTAAATCTCCTCCCGCACGCATGTATGTATGTATGGACGGTCTTATTGGCATAGCTAAGTAAAGTTATGTAAGCTAAGTATGCTAAGTATATGTTGACAATTTCTTGCTCATTAAACAACCATATCTGATAGATTCTTCGTAACTCTGTGGAAAAGGCACGTTCGTAGGTATGATATGGGTTATATGACATGGTGAACTCCGGAAATACACGTGCTCTCTACCCCCGCTCTCTCCCTCTTGCACGCGCCTCTCTGTCACACACGCACGCACGCACACACACACACACACACACGCGCGCGCGCTATCTATATCATCACCTTTTTTTTCAATCTCTCGCTGCCATGTCTACAAACATGACTTTTATCGTAAGACAACGTCCTCGTTTGGCTCATCGCATTTGTTAACTATATGAGAGCCACTGGTTTGTTTCCAATATACAACTCGCCGTGACTCGAATTGTCCGTGTATAACTTGGTGTTGTTGTTGGTGTTGTAGTTCTGCGTATAGACGTAGGTACCGCTAACCGCAGTCTGAGAAATGTCGTATGGCACAGACTGGGCAATCGTTGTGTGAGGAATACCGGACGGCACAGCCTGATCCTGTCCTGGACTAAAGTCTCCCGGTTCCTGGGCGTCAGACCAGCAGTGACTCTGCGGATGCAAGAACACACCGTACTGAAACCAATGCAGATAACGTGTGTAAAGAGACGCAGCTATACGGAGAGGTTTTGTTAAGACTATAATACGCTACGCAAACAAAACATGTACACAGTCTTAATCAAATAAAATGACAATTGTACGATTATTTTACAATGGGAGCATTTGTTGCAGACATGTACTACTGTAGAACACAACATGTGAGGTTGTTATGAACATAAAACAAACGTGAATTGCTGTAAAGCAAATATGATGTGTTGCCGAATGAATATTTCTATTAGGAGTGTATACTTGTTAATTCTATCAATAAAAAAGAGTGTATATATCAGAAAAATATTGGGAGACATGAATACATATGGGATAAACAAATACGCATGGTGTGCAGTACATGACGTTACAATTATACATAGTACGTGCTTATATACGTGATTAAATAGTACATTATGTTACAATCCAATGAAAATAAACGTAATCCCACTACACCCAACGAAATCTGTATGTCTGCCTGTCTGTCCCTCTGTTGGTATGTCTGCCTGCCTGTCTGTCTGTCTGTCCACCTGCCTGCTCAGCCTCGCTTACTACCCCCCTATGTGTGGGAATGTGTTACCTTCATGTTAATATCAGCCAGGGTCGGATCGAACAGTTCAGCATCGGCTGTGTAGCTGCCATGCTCCATGAGCGGCTCTGCCTTGATCTCACCTAGTATCGTCTGGGGAGGCGTGTGCTGTGACACTGGACTAGGAGACCGACAAATCCCCTTCTCTATGAGTTCGAGCTTATCTGTAGACACGACAGCAAATGGTTAGTATTTACAAAACGCGCGCGTTCAAATAAATTAATTCTGTGATCATCTGTTATTATAAATTCACTGCATTGTGAAGTTCCAGTCCTTCCTACTTTTCGGAAATGTCACGTAAACGTGCTTATACGAAACATATAAAACAACATATTTAGACGTGGGAGTATTAGTTAGATCATCTACAGATTAGATTACTATAGAATTATTATTTATTTAAATATAGTTAGATGGTTTGTGCCTTTAATGCCAAATTTAAAATGGCGTTATATATATGCATTTTATAAGCGTAGAATAAATGTAGAAGTAACTCATGAAACCTGTAACTAAATATATAGTAATCTGGGGAAATTGTGACCATATTACATCTCTTGGTGCCATACGAGTTACGCCATACCCGGATTAGCCATGGCTCGTTTGATGGCAGCGGCGTCCTTCTTCCGCCACTTCAGGCATTCCTCATCCATCTTCTCAATCTTGGCCGGATTCATTGCCCAGAGACACCCTTTCCTCGAGTTTCCATGACCCGTCGGTCGCTCAATCTTCGCAAAACACTTGTTTAACGAGAGATTGTGCCTCACTGAGTTCTGAAACGTTAAGGACTATATGTCACACTTTTGTCAGGAGCATAGATCTTGTTAAAAACAATTATTTCTAATAAAAAATATTACGTTCATGCAGAAACTCTTGCTGCCGAAAAATTTTGTTAAAAACCAAAACTAAAACTAAACTTAAGTGGCATTAAAAACTAAAACACCAGGGGCCGGTTTCACGAAGCGTACTTAAGTATTGAATCGTTATTAAATCACTAATCATGATTAACTTTCAATCATTATAGTTACAAATTAATTCCTTTTCATGTACCGAACTTGAAAGATAATTTTGGCGTATTGGTCCGCCATATTGAATACCGTGTAATTTGTTTTAGACTGGTACTCGCTCCCACCTTGATTACTCGATTCCCATCGAGTAACTAAGCCGAGAGGGGAGCGAGTACCAGTCTATTCATGTTGAAGTCGGCTAATTATGTGATTAGTTAAATATGTACTTAAATCGCTTCGTGAAACAGATTTTTGAGTATGATTAACTAATCATAATTACGGGAAGTTAAGTATGATTAGTGATTTAATCATACTTAAGTTAAGTACGCTTCGTGAAACCGGCCCCAGAGTGATTTGCCTTCTTGGGGTGAAAAGCAAAATCGCTCACTAGAAGGGAGATGCATGGGCCCGGGCGGCTGCATGGGTCGCGTGTTTCTGTTTACTTATACTGTGAAACAGTTTAACAAAAAAGCGTGAACAAATTCCTATTACGTTATTTTCATAGTTTATAATCTGTTAACGTAAATAAATTGCCAGTACTATTTACGGAATATCCAGTGTTGAAATACAGCCGATTAAACTAGGAGCGAAGTGCAACGATTTTCTCTTGCGGAACATAAAAATGTTTTGTTAGCTAATGCCGATGAGAGATATAATCAAGAGCATATAAAGAACTCTCTTTATATGCTCTTGATATAATTAAAGTACGCCAATAATTAAATCGTTGCAAATTAAAAAATAATAGCTCATGTATTAATTAACATGATTATGTTATCTGTCAATAGTTCCAAGTGCTGCGTCAGTAATCACATATTATTAGAACTTCCGAATGCACATGCGTATATAGGAGCTGAACGAAATACACTCCTTAATTTATAATAGCCTATTAGCATGATTAATTATCACTGCTGTCTGCGTGACATACGGGTACAATAAATATAAATATATCCGTCAAGTCCGAAACGTGGCCATCTGCAGGGAAGGTAACGCTATTAGAAGCTAATTGGCAGTGTATTCATTACGTGGCCGCACGCAGCTACATTGTCACGCGCGCGTGGGGTTGACCGCTACCTATCAGCACCGGACTGGTGTGCACACAGAACCGCGTCTGACGACGACACGTGAGTAAACAATGGGGCAGGTGTCCGTGTGTATTTTGTGGATTTTTAGCAATTCTTGTGACGAATTGTTTGAAATGCACAAAATACCGAATGAAATGTTCGATATGATTATAGGATAATAAGCGTAAAATGGAACATGACGCCGTTTAATACATATGTCATATAGTGTAAACCATTCGGAGGCGGTGCGTACACAACATTATGTTCATGTCACGTCCGCTTTCTGGAAGGCATTTAGATACGCAGAAAGGGTATGGATAAAATTGCTCATTACTGTAATATTAGTGGAAGTGAGCGTATTTTGTCAATACGCAGCCTTCAATCTTTTCAATGGTGCGGGCCCATTATGAATACATTTATCGGCATATAGTGCTATATAATCAGTAATGCATACAGCGCTAATACAGTAAATCTCAGATGCGAAATTAATAATAGAGCGTATCAATTAGTGATTTAATTTTATCACATAAAACAATCACCTACCTTCCATCCCGAAGGAGCCGTTTTGAAGTAAGGGAAATTTTCTCTGAAATTAACAAACAAAAATGGCTATAATACGATCCAGAGCACATAAACCAAAATGTATCAATCGTCCTCTGGGGCGATATATATTATAATATATATATATAACGATAAGCGTACATAATTAGAAGGGACACGTACAGTCTTCACCACATTACTGTATATGTACGAATGAAAACAGTGGAAAGGGTCGTGACATAGATATTACCGTCTAAAGCACGTGTTATTGTAACGTACTGTACGCGGATATATGAAAGCACACAGGTATGCAGATCCCCTGTTTCTTTATCCTCCAAAAGTTTCAGCACTTATTGCAAACAATACAAGAGGTTTGTTGCCCTTTGCGGAATGAAAGAATTTGACCCATTTAGTAGTAGACCTGGTTCTCGTGCCACCAGTAGCATCAGTACAGCGGGGGCGCACTTCACACCTAGTATTTACACGAAGAATAGCAGGACCAGGTCATGACGATAATCGTTACATTTGTTCTAGTCAATGGGCTTCGACAACACTTACAAATGTCTAGGGCGTGCAAGCAAAGTGAGCCATAGGTAATCAGGTGTGAAAATCATTGTGCTGGGAATTACGTAGGCGCGCGTACAGTAGCTTAATTGCACCTTGACCATATTGACCGCATCCACCTGTCATAGCCGGCATAATATTGTATACACTTGTGGGTAAAATTAATACAGCAGATAACTGAACATATTTTTCTCTTTTAGCCCGAATATTATGGCGGTGCATAACGGAAACCCCCAAAGTGCACGAGGCATGGCGAGCAACGGTTATTCCCATCAAGCTACACATGCATTTAAATGTCGCGCTCTTCCCCATAGAGCAATCTGCCGACCATAACAGAAGCTTTACACGCCGCACACGGGGTCCGGTATATGGTTTTCTATCAATGGGGTATTATATTCCCGAAGCTATAATACATTTAAAAACCGTTGGCGGGCTGGCGGCCGTTTAAATGTCTCAGGCTCGGGTCGTGAATGGCCACGGCGACAGATGGCTAGCAGCCAACACCTGCTTGCACCTGCCAGCGGTTTGAACAGCGCAGTGGTGCATAAAATGCAGGGGCTCAAATCTATAACTGATTTTTGGGATATAATATCCTTCTCGTAACTGTCACATCGTTAACCGCACTGGCTCGCTTGGCCAATAGCGCACGAGCATGGTCGGTTAAAGAGATCGCTGCACGATATGTACGCAACGACAAATATTGCAAGTAAGAAATGTGCACTACCAGGAGTATATATTTATATAATCCACCGCGACCCGCAACTGCTATACTAGTGGTAAAATATACTACTACGCTAGAGTGGCAATACCAATGTTATCTATTATATATATATATATATCAGGAGTTATATATATGAGACAAATATATATATATAACAGATAACGCTAGTATTGCCACTGCCAGCCAAAATACACACACGCGCGCGCACACACACATATAATAACAGGGGAACTGTTAAACCCAAACACACTGTCTATCAATATCCGTTGATATGGACTTTACACTCCTGCTGACGATAGATATACAAGGAATCTGAAAGATGACCATGCTTACATCATGAAGTTGTATATGTCGCTCACAGGTAGGCTACCACTTTTACTGTTCTTCAGTGCCATTGCAATAAGGCAGCTGTACGAATAGGCAGGCTTCTCCCATTTGCTCTCTCCGGGTTTCGGCTGCGGCTGCTGTGCCTGCGGTATGTGTTGCCGAGATAAGTGAGGTATCGGCGGCCCGTGTAGATGGGGTTGCCTCTGCTGGCTATACATCGGAGGAGGATGTAGAGAGAGGTTTTGCGCTGTACTTTGGCGAATCGCTCGCGGTGGACTATCGAATGAGTGCAGATTGTACGGTGGTGGCTGAGCCTCCTGCGGCAAGCCCGTCTGAGGGTCGACCATAATCACTGTTCTTCCGTCTCCAGACAACTGCTGAAAATTACTCATGTCGACACTATTTACCCACGAAAGACTATCGTGAGTCGGGTGCGATTGCGGCCACATATTCACAAGTACGTTCTGTGGCAATGCTTCTGAGGGAGCGTATTCCGACACTGGGTTATCGTGCGATCCCATCATGTGTTGTTCCATAGGAGGTGATTGCATATCACACTCTATCATATCCTGAAGCGACATGCTCTCCTGTCCCGCGTTTGCGCGAGACATGACAGGGTCGTAGTACTCCATCCTATCTACGATGGTAACGCACCGTATCCCTGAAAACAAACACGCCAAATAGTTATCGCAATCAGTTATTAAACCAGTCGACAGTACTAGTACTAGTTTTAACTTATATTGTTTTTCCACATAAATTTGATATCTTACTCTCGATCGCGTACTCGTTTTACTAAAAATAGACAAGTTACCTGCAAGTGGGATGGACGTCTATTACCTGCAACTGTTCTATACGAAACTTCCTCGAGAATGCAGCATGCACGATCTACACTTGCTGCCGCCGCACGCGAAGTCCCATGCTCTCGCTCATGATAGTAATCGTAGTACTACTAGAACGTACGTTGTAATGACCTCGGACAAAGAATTCAAAATAGCCTACTCCCATTGGCTGCGGGCTGCACGTCACGGATTCCAACTGGCCCCGTTCTGGTGGGATTGGCTTATTCAAACATTACGCCCAAGCACTTTCCTTATTCGGTAAATAATAGGCACTGTATATAGAAAGATATTGTTGAAAACACATAGAAGTTCAGTTCGGTCCACGCAGAGTAGTCATATATATATATACCTTTAGATATATACCTTTAGATTTGCGAATACAGAGAGAGGTCCAGGATTAACCATGCGTATGAAGTTCAAGGTGTCGTTGTGTATCGGCATTGCTATGGGTTGCCATGGCTAGTATAGTTCTGAGCGAAGGTATGATAATAGCCGTATCAGTTATGAGTCTTATATGACCTAATTAATTCGTGAATTAATTATTTACATATTATTGCTAAGACCGTTCATTAAGACTAAGCCGAATGGCGGCGTCGAAATTGCTGTGTATTGTCATCGTCGTATAGTTATAGAGATCTGTTTCTGGCGCAGTTATGTAATGTTTTGAACCACCCTTTCGCCGCAGTTGGCCCACATGCTGCCAGATGGCGGTAGACACGTCTGTTAACTTGCTACATCGATCATAGCTGGAGCACGTGTTCAACGACCGAGATGAAGTCTAGAAATACAACCATGAACGGAAGCTGTAGGGATGACACTAACATTTACCCACATATTTGCTCATATGAGACTGTACCGCCAGAGGCACTAGGACATCTAGTATAAAAGCGTAGTCTCGTGCCCATGATCGATGAGTCGTAAGCAATGAATCACTGGCTTCTACTCGCATAGTCTGTAGGTCACACTAATTTGTACTTGTCAAAAATGTTCTACTCCGTACAAACTGAATAGTATAAAACAACTGTTGGTGTTTTTGGTTATCTTTCATTACCACTTCACATTTGGTATTTTTGCGAAATTTTAACACCCACGATGCGCATATCCCGACTTTTCCGAGTGTTTACGACTATTTAAAAGAATTGAATCTTTATCCGGAAAAAGTTAAGGAATACATTTAATGAGGGAAGTACTGTTACTTTAGCACGTTACCTAGTAATTTAATTAACAGTGAAAGGCTCGAACCTATACATCAGTAACGTGAACAAATATATTGTATAGATTCGTTCTACCGATGTATGGTACGTACAAGTAACAAGTACAATATGGGCACCTATTTGCCACCATTTCCTCTTTCGTCGCCGAAAATTTACTACGCGGAAAGAATTTTCAATATTCTATATATTAAAAAAACTACAGATAAATCATAATAACAAAGATTAACACAGTATACATTCTAATGAAACACGTTCGATGAACCCTTCCCAATCAGACAGACGATGCGGAGCTAGGTTCGGAAGGACCTCTGAAATGAAGGGGCATAATAGTAGTAAAGTAGCAATGCCAGATTTTATGATCTACTGAGAGCTGTTATTCTAAGTTGCATTTTATTACTTATATATTCAATTGCTGTAGATAATACTGATTTAAATGCCGCACGCTCCTTCCGTGAACCTATTTATTTAATCACAGGACGTCAAGTTCCTATTTTTTCCTATTTTCTGGGCAATTCCTATTTTCTCCTATTTTCTGGACAAATTCCTATTTTTTCCTATTTTCTGGGCAATTCCTATTTTCTCCTATTTTTGAGGGCTTTTCATTTTTCTGAATCCAGAATTGTATGTATCCTTCTCCGAATGCAGGAATTTACATTTCAGGTGACCCAATTTTTAAAAATTTCCTGGGAGAAAACCCCCAGACCGCCACCCCTTACTTTAAATTAACGTAATATATTCTTTACTATCACAGATTTTATTTCATCAGGCCATCTAATGAACGCATATTCCTATTTAACATATTTGTGCTTTATAGTAAAAATTTATTGCACAATTTCTGAATAATCTTATATCATGGGCAATTTGTGCATGTCTAGTATTTATTTTTAATCATTATCACTACTATTTTGGAGTAGTCTACATGCAGGCCCGTAGCCAGGGGGGGGTTCGGGGGGTTCGAACGAACCCCCCCCCCCCGAGCCCCCACCCCCCAAATTTTTTTTTTTTTAA